AAAAACATTAAATTATATAAATAAATATAGAAAAACATTGGATAAAAATTTATGATTTTTTTTTTTTTTAATTTCTGTGGCTCAATGGTAGAGTGCTTGCCTAACATGCATGAGGCACTGGGTTTGATCCTCAGCACCACATAAAAGTAAAATAAAGGTATTATGTCCATCTAGAATTTTTAAAAAAGCTTCTATCAAACTACTAGTAGATGAAACCATCCATAACCTAATAAAAGGAATCTACCAGAACACAAAAGCAAAGTTCACAATTAAGGATTTAACAGGATTGCCTTTCAAGTGAAAAACAATACAATGATATTCTTACCCAATTTCTACGCTACTTTGTTTAGTGGTGCAAGTAAAGTAAATAAGATAAAACATACATAACAGCTTAAGGACTAGGAAGAAAGAAATTATCATTGTGTACATAGAGAATCAGGAAACTGATTCGTACCATTTGTAAAATTTGGTACATTTCAAAGGCAGTATTGAAGATCACTGGGAAAGGATGGTATTCAATAAAAGCAATTGGAGAAAATTTGGAAAAATTCTACAACTGGGTCTCTAGCTCATACCCCATACAAAAATAAGTTCCAGGCATAATATAAAAGAAAATATTTAAATTTTTTTTAAGGAAAAGGATATCTTGCAACCTTGAAGTAATACAAGATTTCTCAAATAAGACTCAATAACCACAAATCATAAGGAAAAGATTGACAAATTTAACTACATTAAAATTAACATCTGTTCATCAAAAGAGAATTTTTTAAAGGATAAAGAATAGGACACAAATAGAATTCAGAATATATAAAGAACTTCTAAAAAGCTACAAAAAAGAAAAATGAGACAATAGATGAACAAACAAGATGAGATTACAAAGTAAATGAGAGGAAACCCAAATGACCCAAAAAAAAAAAAGGATGAAAAATCCTGAAACTCACCAGTAATCAAGGAAATGCAAATTAAAACAGTGAGATATTTCATACCTACCCAATTGACAACAATTAAAACACTTAAAAGATACAAAGGATTAGTGTGAATGAGAGGCAACAACAGCAATGGGGTTGTGACCCCCATGGTCCTAGCTGTATGTACCTGGTCTCTCCCCCAGTAGCCAGCAGAGAGGAAATGTGAGCCAAAGGGACATGAAAATCAGCAAGGGCAAGGCTGGGCAGACCACTGGCAGGAAACTGAGGTGGAGCTCAGGTCAGAAACGACAGCATCATATGTCAATCTTGCCCAGGAGGTAAAACTGGGGCTCAGAACCATATTTTGCCAACTGTGGCAAACACCCTCAAACAGCAGCTGAGTTATTTTGATCATCTAAAGTCAATTTGATTGAGTTATTTCCTCCTCAAACTTTCCAGCCAGGACTGCACAGAGCAGAATTCCAGTGTGTACCAGTTTCCTACTGCTGCTGGAACTCATTTCCACAAACTTAGTGACTTAGCACAACACATATTCATCTTGCAGTTCTGGAGACTCTAGGAGAGAATCCATCTTCTTGCCTTTTCCAGATGCTATACACATTCCTTGTCTCATGATCCCCTTCCATCCTCAAAGCCAGCAAAGACAACTAAAATCCTCCCTTCATATCACTCTGACAGTGCCACTTCTGCTTCCCTCCTCCACATTTAATGACCCTTGTGATTAGTGAGCCCATCCAGACAATCGAGGATCCCAAGATCATTTCCCTATTTAATATCATCTGGTGAGCAATCTGATTCCATCTACTATCTTAACTTCCCTTGCCAAGTAACTGACACATCACGTTTTCTGAGGATTAGGATGTGGACAGCCTTAGAACACCATCACTCTACCTACAGACAATCCTTGCTCCACTTTCCCCCCTCTTCCCTACAGGGTTCCAACTCCTTCACACCTCCACTCACACCTCCAGCATCTGTACCACCACACACTCTGTTCCCCAAGTACAACAATCTTCTCATCTTTATCTAATCAATTTTTATATATCTGTACACAATTATAATTCATCCTCTAGGGCTCAGGTTGCCTCCTCTCTGAAGGAGATCCCCAGTCTAATCACTCAAAGCCCCAACACTCTCACTGGACTTTCTGTATATCCCAACTGCAGCACTTTGTGCCCCTGAAACCATCTGTTTTCAAGCCCCTCTCAGTCCAACTGGTGAGCCCTTCAATGACAAGAACAGGCCTCATTCCCTGAGGTTCCCATGTCACAGCAACTAGCAAAGGAGACACTCAGAGTGTTCCTGAATCCTAAGTGACATTTTGCTGAGTTTCCTCAATAAAAAAGATGTTACAAATAAACTGGACTAAGTGTACAGCAAGTAGGGCCAAGGAATTAGTTCAGATAATCATACCAATAACTCTTCAATCACCTACTGCTTGGCTTAATATGAATTAGTTCAGATAATCATACCAATAACACTTCAATCACCCACTGCTTGACTTAATATGAAATCCACTATCATGTGGAAGAATCTCTGTAACACAAGCAACACCATTTCTATTGCTAACCTGTGGGGCCATTCTAAACTAACTGATAAAATTAACCCCATGAGTAATAAAGTATTTATCAGAAATTATTTACATTCCTCAAAATTATATAAAAGAACTGACACTGCTCTAACAGCAGAAATATCTGGCAACCACCAATAAACCACCACATATTCAGCCCTCTCCTGAAAAGGCTGGAGATGTGAGGGTGGAACAAATGGTGCTTTTTAGGGAGACAAATTGCCCCATGCACACAAATATACATGCATACTGCAATAAAGGGTTCTTTTTGTTAGAAGGTGGTTATTAAGAAAACAGTCTCATTTAATTTCAATGGCTTGTTACTTGATGTTCATACTTAAGCAAGAAAACTCCCCCTGGAGAGAAGAAAGACTAAGCAAAAGAAAGAGAATGCTGAGTCAGCATAATTATCAGCTTTTTTTTTTTTTAAATAGAGAAAGAGAGAATGATATGGTTTGAGCGTTTTAAAGGCATTCTCCCATTCAGGTTCAGCAGAACTTTCCTGTTCAACTTTTCTTTTAAAATGTGAAATCTGAAATTAATTTTAAAACATACTCTAAAAATCAATTTCACACTGGAAAGGAAGGTGTGAGAGGAAGAAATAGAAGACACCGATTCAGCACCATGGACAGTGGACTCACACAGGGCCTGTGAGAGTCTTTGCCACTGGCACTGAAAGCTGAGGATGGACTTCCAATCTTTCAGTTATAAAGACCCCATTTGCCATCAAAACTCTTTCAAATCTTTAAAATTGAGCATAAATTGACTAAGTTTATAAAGTTTTATATATTCCAAAACATGAGTACTGAATTTATACTGTATAACAACCGAGTCTACACACAAGTGAAAAGGACACTACTCAAAGTGGAACACTCAGTAGTCCATGACTGCACTTGTGTCTGGAAACCCCCTGCCTGGTGACGGATCTCATGTCTGAAGACACTGTCCCAAGCTTCTCCAGCCCCTCTCATGAACAATGATCCCCCAGAGTGCACAATTTTGCAAACACTTCTAGAATCTACATTTCTCTGAGATTTCTTAGTTGATTAATTGTTCTTGCAGATGAGAAGGTTGGCAATTAGTTCTCAAAAAGGAATCACGCCTGCACACCTTTTATGAGTAAGTCCAAAGAAGAGGAAGGGGCAACGGTTTGCTTCAGGAGGCAAGTTCAGTTTCAGAGGCATAGTGAAGGCTTAAAACAGAGGATTGGCTTGGAATGGAGGGACTGTATGTCATCTACCTAGATTCAAAGGGCTGTTCTGCAAGGCTCTGCATCCACAGTTCCTTCTGGGGCACCACACACTATAAATCCTCATTAACCAACAGCGCTATTGGCTCACATACAGACTGAAGTAGACCTTCAAGTCCATGATCATGAGGGAAGGTCCCAGCTTTGGTCAACTTTTCCAATCTCCTAAAGAAGAAACATACTGACAATGTAGGGAAAAAAAATCGGAAAATACTAAGCAAAAAAGAAAAAGAAAACACTTTCAGTAAACACTTGTAGGGACAATAAGAAAAAGGTCCTCTCTGCCAGAAAAGAAAGTACAGTGACCCAAAAAGAGGAACCTGCATCAGCATCAGAGGAACCTACCTCTTCCTTCGCAGGGTCACCAGAAAGAGAGGAAAGAAAGGAGGGGGTCAGGGGAAGTAGAAAGGCAGCTGTTGATGGCTCGGGAGACTGCACCCCACGCCCTGCATCCACCCACCCGTCCGGGGTTTTTCCTGAAATCTCTTCAAAAAACATTTGTGCGGTTTTGAAACTAAGGCCTCCCAAGTCCAGGGCGACGACCCAGCCCTGGTCAGTGATCCGCGAGCGAGGAGCCTGACCGCTGACAACTTCCCAATTCAGGGAAAGGACAGGAGGCAGCAGCCCAGGTCCTCCGGGGCGCGCTGCAGCTCCGTCCGCTCGCTCCCCGACACTGGGCGCCAGCCAGAGCCGGTCACCGCAGGACCCCTGCCCGGCCCGGGCCCAGACGCGCTCAGGACCCCCGCCCCGCCGGCGGCCGCCCAGGACACGCCCGGCCCGGATCCCGGCAGCACCTGCACGGGCTCGGGACCCGCGATCCGCAGGACTCCAGCCCCGCGCCCGGACCTCCGCGCAGGACCGCGTCGGCCCGGGAGCCCAGTGCAGGACCCGCCCCGTCGTGGACCTCCGTCCAGGACCCCGTCCGGGCCCGGGGTCCCCACCCAGGTCCCGCGCCCGGGACCCGGCTCCACCGGATTCCGCCCGCCACGCGGAGCCCCAGTTCGGGCCCGGGCTCCCGCCCGCCACAGACCCTCGCCCACCACCTGGGACCGCCCCTTGGCCCGGGCCCATGCCCCGGGACCCTGCTCAGCCTGGGACCCTCAACGGGCGCCAGGGGCCCTGCCCGCCCCGGCCCGGGGGAAGTTTGCGGGCCGCGGGCCTCAGGGTCCTCGGCCGCTGGCGGGGCTCGTCCTCCCGGGACGCGGGGTGCGCTGTGCCCCGGCCCCGGCCCCGGCCCCGGCCACTCACTCACCTGTCCCGCGGCGGGCGGCGAAGCCACGGGCCAGCGGCGGAGATCGGGCGGAGCGGACGCGGCGGCCGGGCAGGGCTGAAGCAGAGGACCTCGCTTGGCGCGGAGCCTGTGGAGACCGAGCGGCCACCCAGGCGCCGAGGGTGAAGGCTCCTCAGGGCTGAGGCGGCGGCAGCGGCTCCTCGCGCTCCAGCCTGAGCGTTGCGCGCGGCTCGGGCCCGCCCTCCCCTCGCCGCCGACCAATCCCGAGTCGCGCGCTGCCCCTGGCCCCTCCCCCTTCCAGAGGCAGGGCTCGCGAAAGCGGGCAACGCGGGCCAATCGGACGGCGGGACGGCGAGCAGGGCGGCCAATCCGCGCCCGGGAACCTCTCCAACACGAAGCCAACTAGCGTCCGGGGCGGGGGCGGGGCCCGGGGATTAAGGGAAATCCAACCCAATGGCGGTCGGGGGCGGAGCCATTCTGGGGCGGGGCCCAAGACAGAGGCGGAGCGAATCCCTAAAGGGCAGGGGTGGGAACATACGGGGAGGGGCCTGGGCGGGGCGACAAGGGCGCGGCCGGTGGCCGACCTCTGCCAGACGTAGGCGGCCTAGGTGGGGTGCGGCAGGAGATGCAACCTGGGGCCCCCCCCCCCCCCACGCACGGGCCTGGGATTGGGGGCGGGGCCACACGTGGTCTAGAGGGCGACGAGTGGATACCAAGAGGCCGCTCGGTGCGGGTTCCCAGGGTAGTCCCCGCGGCCTCACCTCCAAATCCCCGCGGGTTTCAGGCGCGCTGCTGGCTCAGGCTGCAGCCTCTGAGCTCCGTGGGCCAGGGTCCTGCGGCGGTCAGTTGGATGCGCGGCCTTGGGTACCCTGCGATCGGGTCCGGGACCCTAGCCCCCTCCCCGGGTATCCTTTCCTGCGCACGCGACCTCTACACCCCTGCTCGGCCCAGACTCAGGGCTGAACTTTAGCGTGCTGCTCGCAGATGCCTGGGCCAGCATACCTGTCCATAGGTGGCTGAAGCTGTCCGAAGAGTTGGCTGCCTTGGCCGTCTTCAGGGAACGGAATGTTTTAGTACTTTTTATTTCAGGAGTCTTTGTCCACTCTTCCTTGGCTGCGTTTTTCTTTGTTTTGTTTCTATTATGGTCATTTTCGTCTCATTGTGATCCTGGCCTATTATTAGCACATGCTTATTGCTTCCAGGGCATCACCAAAGGGAAAAAGCAGACACTCTTGCCTTGGGCAGAGGTTCGGGTGTGGTTCAGAGACCTGCTTCTTGCTGCATCCTCATTCCCTGGAGCCAAGGGTCCCGCCTTACTGCCTTCCTGAGGTCTTTGGCAAGGAGAAGGGCCAGACAGACACTAGAAGTCTCCAGGAGGTTGGGGACTTAGTACCCAAGTCCCCAAAAGCCCAGGCCACAGGCCTTGTGGGACGAGGCCTGGGTGCCAGACTTTTTCCTCCACGGTAGCTTTAACAGTGCCCATTGGCAAAGTTGACTGAGAGATGGGGCAGGAGCATTTCCCAGCCATCACTGTGGGAAGATGGGTGGCCTCTCTGTTACCTCTAGGCCTTTGTGAGCAGTGAACAGGTGGGCAGAGGCAGGAGGAGGTGGGATTCAAACTGAACAAACAAAACTATCATCCAGCCCAGAGACCTCAGACACTTCAGACCACCCAGTGAGGACAATACTGTGCCTTAAAGGCCTAGGACCCCCTGCTGCACTCCCTGCCTCCCCTGAGGGGTAAGAGGGCCTTTGAAGCTTGCCTGCCACTCCTGCCTGTCACAGCACTTTAAAGTTCTCTTCTTTCAAATACATGAAGAGCCTCATAGACCTGAACCTCATTATGGTTCCTGAGCCCATGGGCACATCAAGAAACAGGTAGGGCTCAAGGACAGGTGTCTGTGGAATCCACTGGCAGGGACAAAGTTCTGTATTCCACATGAGATACAGGCCGCAGTTACTGGGTGGGATGGGTAAGAAAAGTACATTCTCCTTTATCTTTAAATGTCACCAGAGTAATTCAAAGACAAACTTTAAAAAAAGAAAGGACCTGAGTAGGGGTTGAAAAGAAGGTGTCCCTGAGGCTCCTGCCTGGAGAACCCGGATGTACATGTGGGTAGATTTCCAATCCTGTGCTTTAGGAAAACCCTTCCAATGGTAGGGAGGAGGACAAAGGAGGAGAGGGAGGCCTGGTGGAGGATCACCAGGAATGCTGGGAAAGGATGCTGAGAACCAGGACCTTGGGATAAATGAACAAGAGAGGTCTGAGGTAGACCCCTCCTACAGGACTTGGGGCCAGGGACCCCCACTCCCAACCTCATTCGAGCCAAGGTCGCAAGGGTTCACAGCACCTGATCCCATGTCCCTGCTGTCAGCCTCCCCAGGACTCTGCATGCAGAAGGGCTAGAGGGACCCTGGGGGTGTTCCTCTGGAGGCTGGAGCTGGGGTGGGACTCTGGGCAGAGTACTCTTATGCCCGAAGATTACAGGCTGCCAGCCTCCCACACCCACCTTCCAGGAGCCAGGCTTCTCAGCTGCCTGCATTGCCTCCTGGAAGGCACAGTTAGTCATTAGAAGAGTAATGATAGTGTTTTCAGGGCAGCGAGTTGGACCCTAACAACTTTCAATTATTTCCAGTTCCTGCCAACCCTGGGAAGAAAAAATGCAGATCATCTCACGGCCCCGCCCTTGACACACAAGACAATCCCATCTGCTTCACTCTATCTCCACACTCTGAACCTGCAGTAGGGCAGCCCCCACCCAGGCTGGCAGCTGACATCCCACATCACCTCGCAAAGCACTGGCAATGCACAGTCTGTGCATCACCTCTGCCCCGCCCTCCCTGTGCTCCCTGCCTCGCATTATCCCTGAGAGTGCGCCGTCCACCCCTGCCGGCCTTCCCAGAAGTGCCCCCTGGAGCTCCTATTTATAAATGCTCCATGTTGTCTTGTTGGGGGCGTGGAGAGGGGAGGAAAGGAGCCTTATAATTATCACTGCTGGGAGTGATGTCAGACCAAGCCCTAGGAAGTCTCCAAGCTCTAGCTGGGCCTTCCTGATTGTCACGCTTATCCCTGCCACCACAGAGTTGGGACATCTGGAGGGATGCGGGCGGGAGCCTTCTTTAGCTCCATGTTAGATGGCTAAAAGTGCCAGGAAAATAGTGAGACACAGAAAGCAGTCACGGTGGTAATTAATGTCGAAGTCCTCGGAGACAGGGAGGCCTGCCCCGCCCTGCAGCCTCGCAGAGCTCAGCCCTTCCAGGCGACATCAGCTCTCAGATTTGAGTGTGGAGTGGAAGGTGTGGCCTCCGCTGACCTCCGCTGACCTGCAGGAGGACTCCGCCTGGGTGCTGAGCCTTTCTGCGGTAGGAACTCGCCGGGCCGCCCCTGACCCGCAGTTCTGCCTGGTGGAAAGCGAAGCGGAACGTTACCGCTGGTCTTCCTCACCCAGCACCGCCTAAGTCCCTCGGCGAGGACCCGCCCCAGAAGCGCCGGCCAGCGCCCAGGGTGCGCGGGGCAGTCTGCTCTGGGAGAGGAGTGCGAGGAGGGTGCGGAAACCCGAAGGCAGGAAGCTAACGCCGGTACCAGGTGCCGGGGCCGGGAACTGCGAAAACACAAACCTGCGCTCTGGACGTCACTTTCTTCTTTTTTGATATCAAAGATAACAAATGGGGGCTGGGGTGGCGGCTCAGCGGTACAGCATCGCCTAGCACATGCCAGGCCCTGGGTTGATCCTCAGCGCCGCATAAAAATAAATAAATAGAATAAAGGTATTGACAACTACAACTAAAAAATAAATTACATACGTGTGCGCGTGTGTGTGCGCGCGCGTGTGTGTGTAACAAGTGGGCCTGACCTAATTTATCTGGTTGTCCCTGAAGTCAATCGTACTTCCGAGGGATGAGGCAATTTGTGGGCCCCTCTCGTGGCCGCCCCTTGGAAGAGGCGGGTCAGCAGCTGTGTGCTGCGTGGCCTGCTGGGTCCCTGACCTACGGGAACTGAGAGACGCCCACAGAGAGACCGCAAAGCAGAGACCCGCGCCGCCCACAGACGGCCCCACTGGAACGCCTAGGTGGCCGGTGCTGGGAGCCATTAGCCAAGTAGGTATGACAATTTCCTTGCCAGCATACCCCATGTTGCTGACATTTTGCAGTGACATTGAATGTAGGTGACCTTGCTCAAGGACCAGGGCGGATTAGGGTGTTCCCGGTTTAAGATAATCGGGTTTAGGGCGTTCCCAGTTTAGGTTCCAGGTTTAAGGTTTAAGATTATTCCTGCTGGGAATAGGGCGTATCCTGCTGCCTGAGTTCCCCTTGAGTTCTCACGGGATTCAGACAGTATTTTTTGGGAGATAGAAGCCCAGTGGATGTGGATTTGGGCAGAGAACGTGGATTTCCCCAGAACGTGTTTGTAGACGGCTGGTGTGAGTTCAGGAATAAAGAGTTGCTGTTTGAATCTACAAGCTGTGTGGTGGCTCATGATTGTGTGCCCAGCCAGACTGCGGCAGGCCGGCATGCATGGGGGGCGTCCACGGGGACTCCTGTGAGGAGACAGTTTTTCCACACTCTCCCCTCTGGGGCTGGGGCGTAGCCTGTGCCCTCCAGCTGCCCCGCCTAAACTTCTGCCTCCCAGACCAGAACCACGTTCTACAGAAGTTCTTCAGTGTGTTCGCATCCCTCCAGACTCAGCCAGACCCGTGTCACCTTCCCCGTGCTGGAAGCAGAATGGACACGGGCACGGAGAGCTCCCCAGAGGGCTCTGAGATGTGAGGGGCTGGTAGTGATATTCGTCCTGCAGACGTCAAAGGCATCCCAGTGTTGGCCATGTGGATTCAGGCCCTTCGTGGAGCAGATGGTTTTGAACCCTGAAGAAGGAATCATCCTGGGTGAGAAAGAGACCCACAGGCACTAGCTTATGGCCTTCCAGGAGGGGCCAGGTCCCTACAGTTGTCCCCACCATCTCCAGTAGACTGGGGCTGGATGCCAGCTTGCCTTCAGCCTTCACACCGTGTAGGGAGAAGGGATGCCCCCAGAGAAGGGTCCAAGAAGTTCCTGCAGAGATGGGAAAACTTCTCCCAGGACCAGTGAAATCCTTGGCTTGGGTGATGGACAAGAATTTCAGGCCAGGCCAGTCAGAGCCACAGACAGAGGTTATTAGGGAAGCAGATCCCATTCAAGGGAGAATGTAGGCCAT